TGTTTAACAGGCCGTTGTTAAGACAGATTTATTGCATTTCTTATCTTCCTCTCTGCCAGGCATTGGGACTGTTCCAGTGGGCCGAGTAGAGACAGGAGTCCTGAAACCTGGCATGGTGGTGACCTTTGCCCCTGTCAATGTGACCACTGAAGTCAAGTCTGTGGAGATGCACCACGAGGCCCTGAACGAGGCCCTGCCTGGTGACAATGTGGGCTTTAACGTCAAGAATGTGTCTGTCAAAGATATTCGCCGTGGCAACGTGGCAGGAGACAGCAGGAACGACCCGCCACAGGAGGCAGCCAGCTTCACCTCTCAGGTCAGCATGCAGTGATTAACTTTAAAAAAGATACTCAGTTAATCGTCTCTCCTTCAACACGTCTTTACCCGTCTCTGTGGTTCTCCAGGTGATTATCCTGAACCACCCTGGTCAGATCAGTGCTGGCTACGCTCCCGTGCTGGACTGCCACACTGCACACATCGCATGCAAGTTTGCTGAGCTCAAGGAAAAGATTGACCGTCGCTCTGGTAAGAAGCTCGAAGACAACCCTAAGACCCTGAAGTCTGGAGATGCTGCCATTGTGGACATGATCCCCAGCAAGCCCATGTGTGTGGAGAGCTTCTCTGAATACCCACCACTGGGTAAGTTACCGGCCCCACAACAGGATCTCTGTCAGTGGGTCAAGCTGAAACTCTAATATAATTTGTCATTTTCCTCAAGATGACTATGAATTAAAACATTACAGTAAAGGGACACACCCCAAAATCAAAAATACATATTTCCTTCCGTAGAGATGTCTGCCTTCACTCAAATATAATCGAACAAGATGGCAATTGGCTTGTGGTGCTCAAAGCGCCCAAGAAATATATTTGGAAAAACGCAAGACCAATGTCTCCTTCCAGAAATCACGACCCAGTTACTCAAGATAATCCACAGATCTTGTTGTGAGCAGTTTCATGTAGAAGCTCTTCTTTTTTTAAAATCTTCCTGAGATGTCTTTCATCCACAGTCGAGGTTCCACCAAGATCTGAATTCGGATCGCTGGGTTCAAAGTCCTAGCAGTAACGTTACACCAGGAATCACTATCACAATAACCTATATTTTCTTTATTACACACGCCAGCCATATAACTGAGCAGAGGAAAGCATGCATCTACTCATGGACTCATGGTTGTGAGAGCGCAAGATCTAAACATTAATGGCGTCCGCTTTGGCTGAGCTGTAACTAGCTTAGCTGGCTCAGTGGTGCTAGGTGGGCTAGCAGTAAGTCAGGCTTGTTGGTACGTTTTGCTCCAAAAAGTACTGCACCACAATTTGTACATATCCTTCATGATCCTGAGTCAGTAATCCATGTATAATCCTCGTATTTGGAAGGACAGCTGTCATGAGATTAATGTAAAGAAGGAAGCAGTCCCATCAGGAGGGAGGTTGGGGTGGTGTATGGGACATAAAACAGAGAACTTTAGCCAGGAGACTGGTATTTGGAAGAATGTGAACTATGAGTGAGCTTTGGGTCATTTTAAGGTATATTCTCACCATGTTTCTATACCTAACCTACCTCCGTAACTTAACGTTCAGGGTGAAGGGAGGAGAGGGAGGGTCACGGGTTGGAATTGAACCCATGGCTGCTGTGGCAAAGACTCTGTCTTTGTACATGGGTGTCCACTCTGCTAGGTGAGCTAGTGAGCAACCCATGAAATGTCATTCGTGGGGTGCTAATTTTGAGGATATCGTACAAAGCGTTGTGTGCATCTTCATAGAAGAAGATTTTCCGTGAATGTTGGGCCATTTTGCCGGCAAGCTGCGAGCATTTAGACACACAGAGCTGCATTGGCGAGTTGATCCGAGGTGCCCAATTTTCCGCCTTGTGGAGTAGACATATTGGCAGAACCCTTTTAGTTTAAACAGAATGAGGCGGCCTTCCGCAACGGGAGGGGCTGTTGAAGACTTGTGGGAGGAGCTGTTGATGATGCGGCACATGCGAGCCACTGGCGGTGGACTAACAGGAAACAGCTGATGGCAGGAATTAGCGAGCAGCTAGTAGCAAGAGGGAAACGCAAACCTGAAAGACGCTGTAAAGATGAGCAACTGGGGAGACAAGGAATTGCGCGCCCTCCTTGTCCTCACAAACGAAGAGGCCATTAACCGTCAGATGACGGGGACGGTGAAGAACGGGCTGACCAATGAGAGAATTGCCGAAGACTAGCCGCGGCTTCCCTCCAACGTCACTGTTTACGTCACACGCTGAGCTACACATTTTGTTACTTGCTCACGCCCCCCATTACCCCGAAAAAGGCACATTCTGTATGAACAAAAGTAGGTAGGCGGCATTTTGCCGCACTCCCTGATTTTGTTTTTATACTGCCCATGCTGAAAAAAGACTGATTGGGCTTTCCTGCAAATTTGCACAATTCCTATCTAAAAAGGGCTATTATATGAGGATACGCTGAGTGGATGCGCGTCCTTCCATCTGTGCAATGATATGGTCGGCAGTTGTAGTTTGATAGTAGTTTTAATATGAAACTGCTGACTTGGTCTGTGGATTATCTTGAGTAACTGGGTCATGGTTTCTGGAAGGTAACATTGCTGTTGGGTTTTTTGAAAATGTATTTTTTAGTGCTTTGACCACCACAAGCCCAGTGTCATCCAGTTCCATTATACTGGAGTGAAGGCAGATGTCTCTACGGCCAATATCTCCAACACACTGCAACTCACACCAAAACAATCTAGACTGATAAGTAGCACTATAGGTATTCGATTTTGGGGTGAACTATTTCTTTAAACTTCATCTTAATGACAATGTAAACTTAATGTTTTATTCAGAGATAACAAATGTATTTTTCATCATCCCTCCTCAGGGAGGTTTGCAGTCCGCGACATGCGTCAGACTGTGGCCGTGGGAGTGATTAAGGGCGTGGAAAAGAAAGCCCCCACCAGCGGTAAGATCACCAAGTCCGCACAGAAGGCACAGAAGGTCAAATGAACGTTGTGCTGGGCTGCTGCCCCAAACGCTCACCATGGCCGACGCCACATTAGCACCCTGCACCTCCTGCACACCATAATCAGCGTCTGGTCTATTATCACAATGCATCGCAAAAGCAGGAGAAGGAAAAAAAATAACTACCATACTGTTAGTGATTAACACGTTACCACACTGTTACATGTAGGTTTTATTGTCATTCAGTTGGTGGCAGAACAACACAACATATTTGCATTACAGCTCTCTGGTTGTGTGATGTTATAGTTAGAATTAAGCTGCTCATTGATCGTAGCTGCTTAGCTCCAGTAATAATAAGGCAGAGATGTTATTTTGCTGTTGAAGTAATGCTCTGCATTCTAGCTTTAAAAGAGATACGCTAACTAACCAGAAGTAGATTGACTTGCATGTTTGCTGTCACATCTTAGAAAAACAAGCTTTAGAAACTCTTTGTCTGATACCTGATATCTTCATGCCTGGCTCTTTGCTTGACTTAAACTTCCTTGCAGTGGCTCTGTTAATTGTTACAGTTACTGTTTAGTTCATGCACTTTAATCATTGCTATTTGTGAAGAGACAGTCATAAAAGTAAAGATGTTTAAACAGAATGTCGTTGTCCCTGGTATCATTGCTGAGCCTGAAACTAGAGTTAACAACTTTACTAATGTCTTGTAGCTAGCACCAGCTTTAAAAGTCACTGAAGTAATTAGATGACATCTTATGATTATTAGCATATTGGTGACATCATGTTGCATTAATGAATGCATTCAAATACCACTAAAGATTCAACAGAAGGTTCCTCAACAAAACATTTGATTGGCATGACAGCTACTGTGCTCACACTATGGTGCACCACTTTATGGCTCGTTTAGGATGCTTTCACACCTGCTCTATTTGGTTCAGTTCGATCGAGCTGAAGTTCGTTTCCCCCTAAATGCGGTTTGTTTGGGCAGGTGTGAACACAGCAAGCACACTCGGGTGCGCACCAAAACAACTGTATCAAGACCTACTTGAAGAGGTGGTCTCGGTCCAGTTGCAAATGAACTCTGGTGCAGTACGTGTTCTGACCTTGATCTGAACCAACTGCAGTCACATGACACATTGTTTGGGTTAAACATGAGCATGTTACAGTCCTGGAGGATTATTAATGTGCACCTCCTCCTGTACTGCCTTAATATGCACATTCAGCACATCCAATGCATCAAAACATTGTTTTCTAGTTGGAGCCGCGCCTCGTTTTCAAACTGTATGGTTTGGTTCTGAAATCAACCCGTGTAGTGGTCCCTCCATTGTGACATTAGGAAGTGTCGCACGTGTAGTCTTCTTTAATGTTTTGTTTACTTCCTGGATTTTCCCCGCATGGAAATTCTGACCAATCAAGAGCAGCTTTCTCGCGCTGGCATTTTATCTGGTCCGCTTCTAAATGCTGCCGTGAGAACACAAACCAACTCTAGGCAATTATGCTTTGTAACAAAATCAGTCCCTGATTCGGACCAAAGCGAGACAACTCTAGGTCTGAAACCTCCCTAAATCCAGAGGGCGAGGGAATCAGTGTAACCATAGAACACCAGTAAAACTGAACTTAATGGCGAGCGGTGTCTCCTCTCCTTCTGTCTATCCCACACCTACTGCACAGAAGAGACCCTGTGCTGAGGGCAGAACAGCTGTGGACTGTGCTTACTCTGAACAGCGTGCATTGGACTAAATTACAACATCTTTTTATTTTTTATTTTTTTTTCACGGATAGTCTGAACAACTCACATTGTCGCTAGTTGCTTTTAAGAAATAAAGTTGCTATGAGGGTCTGAAAAGTAGCTAAATCTAGTGAGAAAGTTGCCAAGTTGGCAACACTGCCTAAAACCAAAAAAGGAATAGTGCATGTGCATCCAAACCAACAAGGGCTGGTGCTTCAGTGCTGACATTTCAAGAAATGTTGTATGTAATGTAAAATAGAAATAATGTAGTAAAATGAACCACTGAAGAACCTCTGTGTTTTCAGAGAATGATGACAAGAAAACAAAATTCTAAGTCTTCATAGAATTTCCTTTATTGATGAATGAGAATAAAAGTTCACTTGCATTTTCATTACATTACAGGCTTCATAAATCTAACTGAGATTATTACTAGTGTGTAAATATGTGCACATAATTTAAATAAATTAAAAGACAGGAGACAGAATGTTGACATGTCAAAGGCCCGTTTTATGCCCAGTAGCAAAATGATCTCTAAATTTAAAAAAAACAAACAAACATAAAATGCCTCAAGTCAGAACATCTACAAGGAGAGAAAACGAGGAACCATTTTTGTTTGGAGGAACCTAATGCACTTTTCAGGAAATCGTAGATATGGAGATGAATATGTACCACAAAAGCAAGGCACCAATATACTGTATGTACTGACTTCATATCAGAGCTGAGGTCTTTTTTTACTTCTGATGCAATCAGGCTGAACCATAAATAGTGATCTGTCTTAATGACATGGCATCCATTCTCAGTTATAGGTAGGTTTGAATATGACAACCTCTTCATGCAAAATATATTTCAATATCTGAAAGAAAGTAAAATCCACCTCTGACCCCCAGCCTCCTTCACATATACTCTAGTCTTTGATAGGGTCTTCACTGAGGTACTGCTAGCTAAGGGTGATTAGTCACCACTGAAGCTTTGGATTCTTTATGGGTAGTATTTACCTGCAGCTTGCGGCGCTACTATTATTTTCCTACACCTTGAAGAGATCCGCGCAACCTTACCTGATGCACCTGATTCTGTACCATGCAACAGGAATACATTCTGCAGCAAGTTCACTTCAAGGAAGCAAAAATAATCCCATATGACACTGTATGAAAAAAGCAAACATTGACCCTGATTTAAATAAGAGATCTTCCTTGCGTGTAAAAACAGGGTGGCAAAAAGCCAAATGCAATACAATGTTAGATGTCTGAACTTTTCTTTCAGTGTATCTGTTTCCGAACCAAAACAAAGTGCTTTGCTAAAACACACAAAACATCGAGCTGATTTTTAAACCAAGAAATGACATTCAAGATGTGTTTCAATCCATGGCTGTCATCAGCTGGGAAACCAACTGGCCGGTGTATAAGTTATCTGAAAATAAAACTGCTCCTTGTTCTCGAAGAAACTCCACAGTATAATGAACATGAGTCACAGTTGGCTGTGTGCGTATACAGGTGTGTACATGTGATGCAAAGATGGTGCATGTCATATTACAGCTGACCATTGGCAGAAGTGACATCACTAAGCGTCCCAATACTTGGCAGTTACAGTAACACTGATATTTCTCTTTTTTGGCCCGGGCTTTCCAGGTTATGGTTAAGACTCCCAAAATAAGACACCAATTCAGTTTAGCTAAAAGAAAAAAATAATAAAGGGCCAGTCCTGCAGGTTTGCATGCTTCAGCCTATTCACCACAAATAACATGGACATCACATACTGTGTTTCAGAAATTTGGATGCATGTTGGCAGTCTGATGTAAATCAGTTAGCAGTCTTTCCAAACTTATTCAAGTCATTTCTGTTACAGTGACATTATTGTTATGAGGTAATGCAACACAGACCTTTCAAAACTACCTGCACTTAAACTGCATAACCACACTAGGGCTGCACCCTGACAGACAAAGATTTGAATTGTCAGTCGTGTCACTGAGATCCTTCAAGTTGAGCAATCTTTTGTTTTTTGTTGTTGTTTTTGGGCAGTCAGCGTGCAGCTACATCCGGGGACATTTTGGTCCCCAGATGTAGCTGCAGAGTGAGCGCTCCTTGCTTTCATGCTACTCTCCAGGCACAGGCAGCTGCAGACCCAGACCCAGGGCCAGTCTGAATGACACGAAGGCAGCTGCCTGGAGAAAGAGAGGCTCTGAGATAATACTCACCGGTATTGGGGTATATGAAAAATATATATCATAAGAAAAATAGACACCGGTATTCGGTATGAACCGGTATACCGCCCAGCACTACAACTTCATACAATACAGTCTCTGGCTTTTGTTTGATATCAAGTGTCAGCAAAAGATGTTGAATGTTACCGATGTGTCACTAGCATAGTTTGCACACATCAGCTTAGAGGGCTAACTTGGCTTGTTTGCTATATTACAATGAACGTGAACGCCACTGTCACCCTGAATATACTGCCAAAACCTTTGTAAACTCTCAAGCTCTGTATGGAAAATAAGAACTGGATACCCGAATATTCATATTGAAAAGCCAAATCTGATTCGACTGACATAATTCTGAGTCGGGTGCAGCCCTAAATCACACACTGAGCATGTAACATTCACAAAAAAGACCTTATATCCCCCCTGTGATGGATTACTAACCTCAAGCATGTTTTAGGAGTCTGTTAATTGATTTACTGTACAGACATTATTGCAAACCAATGGATATCTGAAACTGTAGAAAGAATACATTTTAAAAAATTTAAAATTGTACTGCCTGCATTGGAAAATGGTTAGCAAAAATGTTCAGTATACAAGACCTGTAGTTCAGAAGCTAAATCGTGCTGTTATAGTCCTTGTGTGGGATTTTTGCGAAGATTGCAGGTAACCAAAGTCATTGGTTCAGGATAGTATTTGATATGATTTAAGGACTTAAATGTAAGGGGGTGTCTGGTTTCCTAACATGAGCAATGCTATAGAAATAAAAAAAGAATTACTGACAGTTATCAAGAATGAAAAGTATGGCAATGGTGAGGTAACATTCACTTTAGTATGGAGGCCTGTCATGTGATTGGAGTGACAAGAAATTGATCCCGTGTACATGGGCACATGTAAGTGTTAAGTCCAATGTTTTTCTATTAAAAAAATGGTGTGGTATTCTCAAGGGAATTCTCCCGAAGTGTTTGTTTTCCATTCCTTTCTACTGAAGTGTAAACTATCTTGCTAAACTCAGTACCTTTGACTGAAAACATGCAATGCTCATGCTCTGTCTCAAGGTCAAATATCAACCAACCGTCATTCAGGACTGAGTTAAGTTGGTTTTGTTTAATAGCAACGTCTCAGGTTTTTGGGTTCTGTCTTCATCTTTTAGCTCAGATTTGTCAATCACACAAAACTAGGAGTAACTCATGCAATGATATGCCCTATGTGATCAGCCTGTATGAAAATACTGTGATTCTTATCAAATGGATCAACATGAAAATAAACAAAAAAAGGACCCACTGTAATATTCCCGCCCTCCCACTCCCCTCCAAAAAGGATAAAAACCGTCTCTGTGAGGTGAGATTTGCGTGCCTTCTGAACATGTAGGCCAGTTTATTTTAGCCGCACGTGCGGCATGTTCAGCAATTCGGAGTTGCCAGCCGAAGGCGAGGATGTGTGACCACTAGCCAGGTTACGGTTAGAGCCTTGGGACCCTGCCCCTGCTCTGCTCCCTGTCCTCAGGAGCTCCGTGGAGTAGGTGTGGGCCTCAGCAGTCCCCAGTGACAGGAAGTCAAATCCCTGTGCCTCAATGTCCCTGTCACTGATAAAGAGGTCCTCCTCACCCCATCCACCTCCCCCACTCCTGCCTATACCACCACCACCCCCTCCTCCCCCAGGGTGTTGGCTACATTGGAAGCCAATGGGGGAGTCACTGCTTGTACTGGGGCTCGGAGATGAGAGGCTGTGGCTGTGGTGGGTGTCCTGGACAGTCCCTGGGGCTGCCTGCATCAGGTCCTGCACCGACATTGACTTGCCCAAGCCCCGGTCCACCTGGCTGGGGCCAGAGCAGCAGCCCACAGCTGGTGGCACCAGAGGCTGCAGCTCCAGGCTCATATGTCTCCTCCAGGAGCTCTCCTCCTTAGCATTTAACCTGCCATTGCTGTTGGTGCCGCCCTGTAGCTTCTGTCCCAGGCTGCCCAGTCCCAACCCAAGGCTAAGGTCCTCCCCAACATTGCTGTCCTCCATCTGCATCCCTAAACCTCCACAAAAGTCCTCCATGTCCGTGGAAGTGGCTCGTAGCAAGTTGCCCTGGCCCCCACTCCGGCTGGGAGGGGGTGGTGGTGGAAGCCTTGCCAGAAGAGGAAACCCTCCATCTCCAACTCCACCGCCGCCACCACTGCTGATACTATTGGGGGTGAGGATGGGTGGAGAACTCCCCACAGCCTCATCTGTGCCACTTTCAGGCGTGGTGGCCTGAGGCTGGGGATGATGATGGTGATGAGGATGACGATGGTGGTGATGGTGATGATGATGGTGATGAGGCAGCGGTGATGGGCTGAAAGAAGAGGATGTCAGGCCGGTTGAAGAGGAGGCATTGAGCTCGCTGGGTGGCGCCAGGATGAGATGGAGTCCACCCTGGGAGAGGTGGGAGTTGGTTGAGGAGCGTGTGATGCAGCTGCCAGGGGGAGGTGCCCCGCTGCTGCTGACCTGGGTGGAGCACGACAGGTCCTTGCTGAAGACGGGGGAGTGGTAGTCAGAGGTTTGTTCCAACTCAAACAGGGGCAGAGAGGCGAGCGTGAGGGCTGAAGAGGAGCCTTTGTGCAAAACCTGACGATAGATGTCAAGCAGGGAGTCGAGTTTTGACTCAATCGACTGGACCTGTGAGGACAGAAAGAGAGGATGAGAGTGAGGGGTGCAGGGATAAGAAATAACAAGATACAAGAAATAAAAGTCATAATAAAGTATGTCATATAAAGTCATTGTATAGTATGCCAAAAAATGTCATAGTATATTATGTCAAAAAATGTCAAAAGAAGTCAGAGTATATTATGTCAAAAAAGTCATAGTAAATAGTATGTCAAAAAAAAAAGTCATAGTATGGTATGTTATAAAATGCCATAGTATAGTATGTCAAAAAAAAATCAAAGTCATAGTATGTGATAAAATGCCATAGAAATCATAGTATAGTGTGTCATAAAATGTCATAGTATAGTATGCCATAAAAAGTCATAGTATAGTATGTCATAAAGTGCTATAAAAGTTATAATGAAAGTTCTCTCTGCTCCTCTTTGGCTTCTTCTCAGTTAGATGACTATGGATGTCACCTTTAATTAATGCAACCAGATTTTGGCCAAGGTCTTCCTTAACCAATCACATTGTTGCTGTCAAGTTTTAAAACTTTTCTCCTCTCTGCTGCTGTCAGTTGTTTGTCTAGAATGAACAGATGGGACCCTCCTCCACCTGGTTCACCTTCAGTCTCCAGCTCATCTGCTGCCCAGTCCTGCTCCTCATCCCATCATCCTTCAGCCATCCCTCTCCTCACCTCCACCACCAGTGTTTATGGGGATTATTCCTGAACTAAGCATGGCTTCTTTACACCCTAAATATACATTAAAAACTTTTCACCATCCATTGTATTGTACAGTTTGTATTAAATTATTCTTCAATAAGTCTCTGCTCATTCTTTACTATGACATTTTTTGGACATACAGTTACCATGACATTTTATAGCATCTTTTGACATACTATACTGTGATTTTTTTTTTTAACATTTTTATGACATACTTTACTATGACTTTTTGTAGCATTTTTGGACACAGTATCCTCTGTCTTTTTTGACATACTATACTATGACTTTTTTCACATGCTATAATATGACTTTTTTAACATACTATACTATGATTTTTTTTAAATACTATGTTATGACTTTTTTGACGAACTATACTCCGCACTCTTTTTATATACTGTTTTCTTTTTTATTTATCTGTGTTTTTAACAGTACCATGCTGGTAATCTCGTTCTGCTTTGCATTACTGATGTTTTTGCTGAATGACAATAAAAGGATCTTGAATCTTGATGATTTTTTTGACAGACTATACTATGAATTTTTGACGTACAATACTATGACTTTTTCTGGCATACCATAGTAAGACTTTTATGACACACTATACTATGATTTTCTTTTAACATATTTTATATATATTTGACTTTTTATGACATACCATACTATGCCTTTTTTTACATACTATACTATGATTTTTTTGACATACTAAACTGACTTTTTTTGTGACATATTATACTATGACTTTTTTGACATGCTATACTTTGACTTTATTGACATAATACACATTGATTTCTTTGACATACTATACTAAGATTTTTTTAACACACTATACTATGAAATTTTTGACATACTATACTTTGACTTTATTGAAATACTACACTATGACTGTTATTGACATACTATACATTGATTTTTTTGACTACTATACTATGAGGTTTTTTCATAATTTTTGATGACAAACTATACTATGACAATTTTTCAGAGTTTTTGATGACATGCTATACTATGACATTTTTCATGATTTTTGACAACATACTATACTATGGTGCTTTTTCTCGATTTTTAACGACATGGTATACTATGATGTTTTTTCGTGATTTTTGACGACATACTATACTATGGCGTTTTTTCATGGTTTTTGATTACATACTATACTATGACTTTTCTTCATGATTTTTAATGACATACTATACTATGACTTTTCTTCATGATTTTTAATGACATACTATACTATGACTTTTTTTCAATGGTTTTTGATGACATATTATATTATGACGTTTTTTAATGGTTTTTGACGACATACTATACTATGACTTTTTTTCATGGTTTTTGATGACATACTATACTATGACGTTTTTCAATGGTTTTTGATGACATACTATACTATGACGTTTTTCAATGGTTTTTGATGACATACTATACTATGACTTTTTTTCATGGTTTTTGATGACATACTATACTATGACGTTTTTTCATGGTTTCTGATGACATACTAGACTATGACGTTTTCTCGTGATTTTTGATGACATACTATACTATGACATTTTTTCATGGTTTCTGATGACATAATATACTATGACGTTTTTCAATGGTTTTTGATGACATACTATACTATGACGTTTTTTTATGGTTTCTGATGACATACTAGACTATGACGTTTTTTCATGATTTTTGATGACATACTATACTATGACATTTTTTCATGGTTTCTGATGACATACTATACTATGACATTTTTCAGTGGTTTTTGATGACATATTATATTATGACGTTTTTTAATGGTTTTTGACGACATACTATACTATGACTTTTTTTCATGGTTTTTGATGACATACTATACTATGACGTTTTTCAATGGTTTTTGATGACATACTATACTATGACGTTTTTCAATGGTTTTTGATGACATACTATACTATGACGTTTTTTCATGGTTTTTGATGACATACTATACTATGACGTTTTTCAATGGTTTTTGATGACATACTATACTATGACATTTTTTCATGGTTTTCTGATGACATAATATACTATGACGTTTTTCAATGGTTTTTGATGACATACTATACTATGACGTTTTTCAATGGTTTTTGATGACATACTATACTATGACGTTTTTTCATGGTTTCTGATGACATACTAGACTATGACGTTTTCTCGTGATTTTTGATGACATACTATACTATGACATTTTTTCATGGTTTCTGATGACATACTATACTATGACGTTTTTCAATGGTTTTTGATGACATACTATACTATGACGTTTTTTTATGGTTTCTGATGACATACTATACTATGACGTTTTTTCATGATTTTTGACGACATACTATACTATGACGTTTTTTCATAATTTCTGACGACATACTATACTATGACGTTTTTTCATAATTTATGACGACATACTATACTATGACGTTTTTTTCATGGTTTCTGATGACATACTATACTATGACGTTTTTTAATGGTTTTTGACGACATACTATACTATGACGTTTTTTCATAATTTATGACGACATACTATACTATGACGTTTTTTTCATGGTTTCTGATGACATACTATACTATGACGTTTTTTAATGGTTTTTGATGACACACTATACTGTGACATTTTTTCATGGGTTTTGATGACATACAATACTATGACGTTGCTTTCATGATTTTTGACGACATACTTTACTATGACGCTTTATCATGATTTTTGATGACATGTTATACTATGACCTTTTTTCATGGTTTTTGACGACATACTATACTCTGACGTTTTCTCATTTTTGATGACATACTATACTATGAGGATTTTTCATGACTTTTGATGACTTACTATACTATGACTTTTTTTCGTGATTCTTGATGAAATACTATAAAAATCACAAAAAATACATCAGCATAGTATGTCGTCAAAAATATCAAAAACAATCACAGCATAGTATGCTGCAAAAATATAAAAAAAAATATATGGTATATGGTATGTCGTTAAAAATCATGAAAAAAGTCACAGTATAGTATGTCGTCAAAAATTATGAAAAACCGTCATAGTATAATATGTCGTCAAAAATCATGAAAAAAAGTCATAGTATAGTATAGTATAGTATGTCATAAAAAATCATGAAACAAAGTCATAGTATAGCATGTTGTCAAAAAACATGAAAAAACGTCATAGTAGTATGTCGTCAAAAATTATGAAAAAGCATCATAGTATAGTATGTCATCAAAAACCATGAAAAAGTCATATTATAGTATGTCATCAAAAATTATGAAAAAGTGTCATAGTATAGTACGTCGTCAAAAACCATGAAAAAACGTCATAGCACAGTTTGTCGTAAAAAATTATGAAAAAGTGTCATAGTATAGTATGTCGTCAAAAATTATGAAAAAATATCACAGATTAGTATGTCGTCAAAAGTCATGAAAAAACATCATAGTATAGTATGTCATCAAAAATCATGAAAAAACGTCATATTATAGTATGTCGTCAAAAACCATGAAAAAGTGTCATACTATAGTATGTCGTTAAAAATCATGAAAAAACGTCATAGTATAGTATGTCATCAAAAATCATGAAAAAATATCACAGTATAGTATGTCATCAAAAATCATGAAAAAACGTCATTATAGTATGTCGTCAAAAATCATGAAAAAACGTCATAGTATACTATGTCATCAGAAACCATGAAAAAACATCATAGTATAGTATGTCGTCAGAAATTATGAAAAAACGTCATAGTATAGCATGTCATTAAAAATCATGAAAAAACGTCAGAATAGTATGTCATCAAAAATTATGAAAAAGCGTCATAGTATACTATGTCATCAGAAACCATGAAGAAACGTCAAAGTATAGTATGTTGTCAAAAATCACAAAAAAAAACGTCATAGTCCAGTTTATTGTCAAAAATCATGAAAAAGCGTCATATTATACTGTCATCAAAAATCATGAAAAAATGTCATAGTATAGTATGTCGTCAAAAATTGCAAAAAAAGTCATAGTCTAGTATGTCGTCAGAAACCATGAAAAAACGTCATAGTATAGTATGTCATCAAAAACAATGAAAAAACGTCATAGTATAGTATGTCGTCAAAAACAATGAAAAAGCGTCATAGTATAGTATGTCGTCAAAAACCATGAAAAAGCATCGTAGTATAGTATGTCATCAAAAATTATAATAAAATGTGATAGTATAGTGTGTCATCAAAAATCATGAAAAAACGTCAGAGAATAGTATGTCATCAAATATCATGAAAAAGCATCATAGTATAGGATGTAGTCAAAAACCATAAAAAAACGTCATAGTTTAGTATGTCATCAAAAATTATGAAAAAGCGTCATAGTATAGTATGTCGTTAAAAATAATGAAAAGACGTTATACTATAGTATGTCGTCAAAAATTATGAAAACGCGTCATAGTATTGTATATTGTCAAAAATCATGAAAAAACGTCATTTTATAGTATGTCGTCAGAAATTATGACCAAGCGTCATAGTATAGTATGTCATCAAAAATCACGAAAAAACGTCATAGTATAGTATGTCATCAGAAACCATGAAAAAAATGTCATAGTATAGTATGTCATCAAAAATCACGAAAAAACGTCATAGTCTAGTATGTCGTCACAAATTATGAAAAAGCGTCATAGTATAGTATGTCATCAAAAATCACGAAAAAACGTCATAGTATAGTATGTCATCAGAAACCATGAAAAAAATGTTATAGTATAGTATGTCATCAGAAACCATGAAAAAAATGTCATAGTATAGTATGTTGTCAAAAATCATGAAAAAACGTCATAGTATAGTATGTCGTCAGAAATTATGAAAAAACGTCATAGTATAGTATGTCATGAAAAAATCATGAAAAAACGTCATAGAATAATATATCATCAAATATCATGAAAAAGCATCATAGTAAAGGATGTTGTCAAAAACCATGAAAAAACGTCATAGTATAGTATGTCGTCAGAAATTATGAAAAAACGTCATAGTATAGTATGTCATGAAAAAATCATGAAAAAACGTCATAGAATAATATATCATCAAATATCATGAAAAAGCATCATAGTAAAGGATGTTGTCAAAAATCATGAAAAAACGTCATAGTATAGTATGTCGTCAGAAATTATGAAAAAACGTCATAGTATAGTATGTCATGAAAAAATCATGAAAAAACGTCATAGAATAATATATCATCAAATATCATGAAAAAGCATCATAGTAAAGGATGTTGTCAAAAACCATGAAAAAACGTCACAGTATAGTATATCGTCAGAAATTATGAAAAAATGTCATAGTATAGTATGTCATCAAAAAATTGCGAAAAAAACATCATACTATAGTATGTCATCAAAAATCAAGAAAAATACGTGGTCACACATCACAAATAAAGGTCTTAGTTTAGTATGTTGTCAAAATTCATGAAAAAACCTCATAGTATCATACGTCATCTTAAATTGTGAAAAAAACGCCATAGTATAGTATTTCGTCAAAAATCATGAATAAAAGTCATGATAATGTGTCATCAAAAATCTGAAAATATTGTAGCCTAGTATGTCGTCAAAAATCACCAAAAAATGTCACAGTATTGTATGTCGTAAAAAATCATGAAAAAACATCATAGTATAGTATATTAAATGTTATTAAATGTTATAACAAGTCATAGTATAGTATGTCATAAAAAGTTGGGTCACAGAAGGTGTTAACTGTGTATGGTCGCCCTTAGTCTGGAATGGGTGATTATGGCCCTTGTGTGTTTAGCTGTCCTCTTTGTCACTAACGCCAATCAGTCACAGGCCAGTTCACTTCTATAAGAGGAATGGGTCTGTGCCATGAACAGATGAAATGAACACTGGTTGCCGGTTATTTAATACATGATTAGACAACAAAACAAGAAGCAGAACACAGACCTGCCGCTCCACCTTACAGACACGACCCAGCATGCTCATGTCCTCTAGCATATCTCCATCAGACAGCAGCTTCTCCCGAATCTTCTTATCCAGAGGGATCTGGCCTTTCCCAAGGATTTGGTCCACTCTGAAACACACACGTTCACACACACAGACACACAAAAACACAATAAGACATTAATGATAGACAGAGAAAAAAGTAATGAAGTAGAAATCCACGAGGCAGCCTGCAAAAAGAAAGGAAGGTTGGAACTGAAACAGAAAAAGAAATTACTGTAAGCACATTTTCTTTTCCAACAGATAAAGGGGCAACTGAGAGGTTAGACTTCCTCACTGGATGAGAAAACATTACCAAACTTGTGAGGATGGAATGTTATGAAATGTGTTTCTTGTGTATCAAACAGAGGTTTACTTTATCTGATTCTGATTATCTGAATAAAATCAGCACCTATAGAAACACTATTCCTGCTCAATCCAGTGAGGTGTAGTAGAATCAAAGTCCCCTTGTTAGTGAACATGGTAGAGGGCTGGGATAAGCCAAGACAAAGTCAAGCAATTATAAAGCCACCACCATTTTGGAGAAATAAATGATAAAGCTTTGACAAGACCTTGAGTCAAACAGTGTTAATTGTCCAGTCAGTTGCCTTTATACATTTGCAGGAGAAGAAGGCACAACCAGATGATGTGATTTAAGAGCTGCAGACCATTTGCCATAAGGAAGGCAGGAGTTACAGTCTCAGTATACGACCACGTGTTAACTGGTTTCATCACTTCACACACATGTTATGTGATGGCAGCTGAGACATCACCATGACAACTACCAATGAAGACAATGAGGTGTTTATCAGTCCTGTCTGCAAAACTGATCAGTGCTCGCTGCAGAAGATACAGTATGAACTGCATGCAGCAGCTTCAGTTAACACTCAACAACAGCAGGGGTCAGTGTTACTGCAGCAATGCCAGGTTTATACATGGTACAGTGTGGTAGGCATACACAGTTGTGCATTGAGGAACTAGTTTTTGTGTGTGTGTGTGTGCGTGCGTGCGTGCACGCGTGTTTTTGTGGTGCTACAGAAGATGTTTCTGTGTGACATGTGTTGGGTTGAAACGAGGATCCCAGAATTTCCCAGATTTCACCAGATAAAAAAGAAGTAAAAGCCACAACCAAACTCAATATCTTGCATTTTCATTGAGTTGTGTTAGTGAATTGCTCTATATCCACGACAGAAGTCTGTGAGAAAAGAACAGTACATGTGTAAGGAACCAACACAGTCTCACAGAAATACGTGGAATGAACACGACTTCTTAAGAACGCGTTACCTGGTGGTGGACACGAAATGTGTTTAAAATGAAAATAATGCCAATGCAAACTTTATTATGGACGGTCACAGTATCGTTGTGGCGCAGTCGCAGTTTGGTTTGGTCTAGGTTAATAAAGACACTTGGTTAGGTTTAGAGAACAACAAAGTACTTGGTTCGGAAAAGATCATGGTTTTGGTTCAAATAACTACATATGGGACCTTAGTTGTCAGGACAACGTCTAATGCTAACGTTTATTTGACACAGAATACTGACAACTGATGATATTAGTATTTTGTTCATGTCTCTCCAAACGTCATATGCAATTGTCATCTTGACATGGAATACCGACATTTAGTCGTAGGTTATGGAGAACAAAACCCAACATCTGCAAAACATCGTTAGACATTTAAAATATTGGTCACCCGATTTTCATTCCAAACAAAAATGTAACATCTGTTCAACATAAGAGTTTGTCTTTCTAAAGTCATATGGACGTCTAGTGGTAGCTGAATCAAGTACTTTGCCTAGTTAGGCTAAGTAACTACGTCAAGTACTTTGCGTAGTTATGCAAAGCCCACAATTTTTGGTTTAAAATGGAAACACAGTGGTCTACTGGTTGGAAGTCTGCCCTACTCAGAAGATACTCGCTCTTAATATTTATGTGTCCACCACCAAAAAGGTCCTCATTGACTTTGCGTTGGCATTATTTTCGCATCGTCAGTGCATAACTTTAACTCATTTTGTATCCAGCACCTTGACACAAGGAGTTTGTGTCCATTTCATGTATTTCTATCAAACTGGGCTGGAAGAAAGGTTTCATTTCACTTCCAGATCAATCAACTCAAAGAACAAACTTCAGCCTTCTTTAAATCCAGCTTTTTTCATTGTCATATTTTTAAGGACAAACCATGTCCTGAGTTGAATGAATGAGAAGTGAACTGAACCCATGTGACATGTGAGGGATGGGGGGGCATGCATTGTAATAAACAGGCAAGGAGGGGGAGGAAAAGGACTTGGCTCGGCTGCTCAGGGTCTGTGGGCCGACTATCATATCCAGGCTGTGAGAGAGGCAAAGGGAACACAGACACGTAGAGGTACACGTGTGCATATATTAAAAATAACAAAATGCAGAAAACAAACAGATATTTGTGGACATAAACCCATGTATGTTTAAGGTATGAGTGCAGGACCCATACACACACATACACACACACCAAGATACAGATGTATCAGTGACTGTGTGGTCATACAGCTCTGGTTAGACAGCAGAGACTTGAGGATCTAAGTCTGTCGGGTGTTGTTGTCATGTGGAGTGTTTAGTCTGTCTACCTGGTCTGCAGGCTCTTGATGCGGCACAGCATGTCCAAGTGACCAGCAGAGTACTGTTCAATCACATCCTTGACATCATAAGGACGCAGGGTCTCCTTAAACTTCTTCTTGGCTACATGGAACTTCATTATCCTGCACAAACAGCAGAGAGAGTCACACATCAGCCACAAGGGGGAGCTCTTACATAGTCTGAAGCTGAGATAGTTCACTGTAGCTAATGAAAACATCAAACCCTACCTTTATTTTTCTTGTTTTTACAAGTGTTTCTTCACACCAATGCAAACAGTCAGAACACCTGAACAACCACCTCATTGAATGTCTGAAAACATCCAGTGAGGTTGTGGCTGCTTACTTTAGCTGTGTGCATGTAAAACTATCACTCTAAAAAAAAAAAAAGCAGTTCTCTGAATTTATGCACCTGTGGAGCCTCAAGGCAAAGTTCAAGAGAGTTCAACTGAATGTTTTTTGGGGGAAGGGATCAGCAATAAAAAAAAGCCAATCTTGAAAGATTAAGTATTTGGGATTAATTAAGAAACAGTACAAGCTGTAAACAGTTTAGGTATTATCTTTTAACAGTTTGAAAACTCAGCAAATGTGCTTCATCAGGACTGTGACGGTGTAGTTAGACTCAAAGATCAAACAGCCCACCAGACACCAGACATTTTGCTCTATGTTTTGGCCTCTTGTCTGCAGCCAAAGGTGCAGATTTTTTTAATACTCCAGTTACTTAATATCTGTGTGGACATGTAAAACGGAGTGTTTGGAAAACTATGACGTCATCTCCTAAATTCAGATCAAAGCCAGTACAATGTCTCGTAACAGCTGATGTTAAAAATTAACAAATCTTCTATTCTATCTTCCGGTCGCTTTAATCCCCTGAGCACGGTCAATCGGGATTGCTGCCAGAAGGCTGTGGGTTGCTATCAGCGTTTGTTTGCATGTGACTTTTGTGGTAGAAAAATACAGTATTAGTTGGACTGAAGGAAAAAGCCTAATTTCCTTTGACTCACCTGACAGCTCTAATGACAGACTTGACCGAGGGCAGCAAGTCCTCCACTGAGATGTCACAGTGACAGCCTTTCTCATCGAAGCCATCCTCCGCTGCCATGTTGGAGTCTGCTGCTCAGGAGAGAGGACACAGACAAGGAGGAGCATTTAGATTTTGTTGAGGTCAGGCAGAAAGGTTGCTCTTACAGACTAAAGAAGAAAGAAGAAACCATGTTATGAGATATTTGTAAAGAACAGGCCTTAAGTGTGCCTGCAGATATATTGTTAACAATGCAACTTTGTGACAATGCAGCTCTGTTTATGGGTCTGATATGTTACGACACTCTGAGGAGGCAAGCAGAGCGTTACAATACAAGAGCTGAAGAGAGACCGGAGAGTTGAGCTATTTAATTGGTTCACACAAAAGCCTCAGATAAGCACTGTTTAATAGGTCACAGCATGTAGAATCTGCATGGGCTGAAGTGTTTATATGTGTGACAATGATTCAAAGGCACAAAGGCACTGATTATTAAGATAGTTAGTGGCCTGGATAGTGTGTCACCTGATGAAAATGTAAGGCAGTGCTGATTAGTGATTTGCTCCAATAAACAAAACAGATTAGTTTCCATTACAGTCGGGGCAGGTCGTATAATTTTGGCAAAATTGGGCAAAAATCCAGTGATAAACTTTGAGCATATTGTAATCCATGGGGACTGAAAGAAAACTAGACTTTTGCACCTCTTGGCTCTGTTGTCGGTCAAAAAATCTAGTCTATGACTGAAGACTTTGGCCAATCACAAGTCATTTCAGAGAGAGGGTGTTCCTATGGGCTGTGCTACAAATGCAGATTCACGGTCACATCCTTTCAGCAAAAGTCTGATTCAGTGGCAGAGAATCCTGCAGAGAAAGTTGCCAGCATTGGCAGCAACTGCCTACACTGCAAAGCAACCCAAAATAGGAAGACATACTTTTAGAAAGTGAGTCTAAAAGAGAGTCTGACAATAAGCAAAGTAAAGCATGTGTCAATATCGGCAAAGATCTGGACCTAACAGCCCCAACTAGCAGCAGTATCAGCAAACTTTCTGTTGCTGCTGTGACACTGCTTAGATCCGGCGCTGCTGCTGACCACCAGCCCGCTGTGACACCCAGTGCTAGGGGGTTTGTGCTGGCCAAATTCGAGCCACTACAGTTGCCAACCAAAGCGGTGTCCCAATAGTGCTCTCTTCCCTGAGACACAGTTCACAGTGGTGGAAAGCAAGCTTGAGGGACCGCGGGGTGGCTAGCTGGCTAATTCTTGTCTCATTTTTGGTCTGATAAATAGCGAGAGAAAATGGGGAAAGGAGGGGCTGAGTGAATACACTGCTGGCAGCTCCACAATGAAATAAAGATAAATAAAAAATGTATGAGAAGTACTGGGTCACTGTATGAAGCATCTGCATATATCCGTGGTCGTCTGATGGGAGGGGCTCAGGACAAAGAGGGGAGAGCTGCAGGAGGAGGCTGCATTTTCAAACTCTGCCTTTTTTTTGGCCTTTTACAGATCTCTTTCTAAACCAGCTCTAAAATAACTTCTGATTACACTTCAAATAAAGTTATAATGAAAGGGAAATGTTTCCCTTCTTCTAACATCTCAGTTAGCCAACATGTCAGTGACAGTGAATGATCAGACGGAGTGTGGCTAACCAGCCAACCAGTTTGGTTTTGGCTAGCTTGGTTATTGATTTCTCTCCACATGCAGGCCTCAGCCAGCTGGCTGGCTCTGACACCCCATGAGGCTGCTGGAGCTCAACACTCCCTCCGTCCATCAATCCATCAGTCCACCCACCACAAACACCAACTGGCCGTTACCCAGGAGGGCTTGCCAGGCCGGCACTGCTAGGCCAAAGGAAGGAAGTGCAAACAACCATTAGCAATCCTCCACTCAGCTGCCTGAATTAGTGGGCAAAACCAGCTCTGGCGGGTTGAATGAATCGGTCAGTACACCTCAGTGTCTCGACCAGGGATTCAGTCAGTTCATGCTTTGACTTAAAGGAGCAGTTCAACATTTTTTATTTGCTTTCTTGCTGTGAGTTCCAGGAACACAGGGAAACAGCAAGCTTGGTTCTGTCCAAAGGTAAAAAATAACACCTCTGTAGCCTACTGTTTAATTGCCTGGCAACCTCAAGCTGACAAGAAGTTCCCCTGCCTGCTCAAGAAATAGTCCAGCACATATCCAACCATACAACTACAACTTGAAGTTTTTGTTTGGACTGAAAACAAGACTTAAGGGGTTAAATGGAGGCATTGATAGGTGAATTTTTTAACCTTTAGTCAGAGACTAGCTGGTCCACCTGCTCCCAGTCTATATGCTAAAACAAAACTAACCATGTCTTGGTTGTAGTTTCATATCGAGCATGGTATTGATCTTCTCATCTAACTACAGACAAGAAAGTGTACATGCATATTTTTTTCAAAATTTGTATATTTTCTTTAAGACAGTTTTAGCATGCTGCTTCAAAAAGCTTTTTTTCTTCAAGTTCACTGGCAGGACTGTGCTCAGCACCATGTATGGAGACAATGACAACAAATTCTACCTTGAATTTGTACCAATCTAAAAACCAACCGACTACTGCTAATGAATGCAAAGCTATGTGGAACAATTGTCTGGAAGTGGAATAATTGGACAGAGTCACTCACCATCAGTGGTGGAGCGCGACTGGCTCTTAAGGCGGAGTGAGGGTCTGAAGCGTGTGCGGTCGTTGAAGCTCCAGCTCTTCTGCACCTTAGCAGGGCTGGTGCCCTCTGTCCCAGCATCAGCCACCGGAGAGCGCCGGTCGTTCACTGAAGACGTCTGCCTGTTCTTGATGCTCTGACCTCGGGGGCTCGCCATCCTCACCCGCTCCTTGAAGCTCAGCTTCTGACTGTAGAGTGAAAGGGGGATGAACAGTGGCAGGCACAGAGGGGAGTTGGAGTGTGGAGAGGAATATAAAGGGAATGATGTTGTGAGGAGGTGGAATGACAGATGAAGATATGTTAATGGTGTAAGTTTTAGGGCAACAACATTAATTACCCAAGACTTTTGGCAAAATGCTTTTCCTTTACATGATCATGTCATATGTCATCATCCAGTCATCATTCTTTATCTGCTAATATGAGGGTGAAGGGCTGCAGGACATGATGGAGAAAGACTAGCATGCATCGCAGCATTGCAGCAGGTGCTTGACACAAAATGCAAGATCAGGTTAGGTGATGCTTTAACTGTGTGGTGTTGTTTGTGCCTTGATGTGTCCCTTACAGTAGCTACAGTATGTTATTCTATGTGACCAATTAGTCAGCATGTTGCTATTAAATTGTTAAATATTGATATACTTTAATTTGTGATTATTTTATGATATGTTTCGCACCTTACCGTACAACTAATCACCATTTAAAGGTCCAGTGTGCAGGATAAATTGGCAGAAATGGATTATAATATTTCTAACTATGTTTTCATTTGTGTATAATTGGAAGTTAGGCACTTGGCTGCCCTACTTGCTCTATGGGGCCCATGATGCATAAGGTCTGGGTAACTTTATACTATGGAAATCAAACTGTTTTTGGCTGCATATGCTGCCTTTAGCCCTGTATCCAGTTCCCACTATCCTCAAGATAGAGTCATTCCCCTTTTTGTTTAATCTTTGCGTCGGCCACTGTAGTTCTCCTATATGCTTGGCACAAGGGAGAAGTTCCAGTCGGATGCAATCTGCGTCCTCACCACTAGATGTCCCTACATCCTACACACTAGACCTTTAAATCTTAACGATTCATTGCACGTATGTTCCATGTAACGTGTCATGAAAGAGTGAAAACATGGGGGAAAAATAAATGAAAATGACTTGTGGGAAGTGAAGGAAGAGGGAAATGAGTGTAGAGAAAGTAAATGAGTGGCTGATTATGTGTTTGTGCAGCTATATATAATGACTGCATGCAAAGGCAGTGCACAAGCATCAGGCATGGCTCATTTAAAAGGGGTGCTGTATATCGGATTGAACATGAGAAGTTTACATCAAAGGATAAGGCTTGTATCTATATTTTTCCTGTTCTCACCAAATTGAATAACAAGACCAAAACCAACAATGTGTTGTTTTCAATCTGACCTTCAGCCCTGTCTGCGGAACGTGGCTCACTGGTTCCCTCTGAAGATGTAAATCTTTAAAAATATATGTTTACTTTTTTTAGGAAGGGCTCAGTCATTTCCTGAAACACCTGGGCGCTGTAGGATTTATCAAATGAGTCTCAAACAGGAGTAAATGGTGCTTTTGTAGGGGACTACTTTCAGCTGCGGATTAATACACATTTGGTGCTCTAGTGAGGATATACATCAGCAGGACGGTGTATGTGGAACTGACTCAAAATAAATCACAGTGTGTGTTCATGATAAAGAAGGAACATGTCACCCACTGACACAGTGTGGCTCATTAACGTGTTTTTAACAGAATTTGCACAATGAAGCTCAATGGCACAGAAGAATAAAATATTTAAGGCTTTGGCTACACTGCAATACTAATTAGGACTAATCCAATGCTGGTTTTGGTCTTCTCAATGTATTTGTTGTCAAGAAAAATATAGAATATCACCAGACTTATCTTGTGATTGTGGATATAAAGGCACATGATGTGTTTGAATGACTGCAACCATAGAGTTTAGAGTCTGTATCTGAAATACGGGGATTACAGTGTAACACGTAGTTGTGATGTTAACACCAGGAGCTGTGTGAAGGAAAAAATGATGGTGGTCTATGATGTCAAATAATTTGGATCCCTCTACAGTCAGAAAACGGCTTACAAATGTTCATTATTTCACAGGATCTGCTGGTAAGAGTGAAACCTGGTACAAATATTCTGTGAGCAAATGTAGTTAAAACCAAAATCACAACAGGCAGAAGTAGCGCATTGCTCAGGCAAAGACCAAACAAAGGCAGATAGTGTATTATACTATAAAGGCGAATGATGTCTCCCTGCAATATTTGAGTACTCTGGCCTCTCCGAGGCCGCACAGCCTCCTACAGATACCCATGCACCAAGAATTAGTCAGCATTCCCAAATAAAAAATGTCACGTAACAGGGGAGCAGAAACGCTGAGTACCTATGTTTCCGAGTGGTACGCCTCCTCAGTAGCTTCTGTTTATTACTATGAATTTTACTAAGAAATCAAAGGGAGATAGACATACGGTGATGTGTTACATGATGCAGAAACGGAGGAGAGAAAATATTTACCTCTGAGTGTTTTGTGAGGTGAAACATAGCGCTTCTTATTCCTTACTCCTCGCCCTTTTTACTTTGCCCCTTTACACTTTTTACTCCTTATTTCTTGTTTGGCTTTGCATTAGGTCAACCTGAATCACACACTCAATTTAAGTGACATGTAAATGCAATGATCCTTTGCAAGACTGTATGCATGAAGGCTGCGAAATACAAAGTAATACAACCGAGTTTCTTTTGCCGCTTCAATTTGACGACCGCTGACATTTGGAAGCAGCAGAACGGAGGCAATTGAGCTTAGTAGAGGAAAATGAACATCTACAGCACCATTTGAAAAAGGCTGCAATTTGGTGACTCACGCACTTCATGTCGATATCCCCCATTTAACTATGCGAATTCAGCTGGGCCATGGCAACAAGTGCCTGAGTCACCACTGCCAGGCCAATAACCTTTAGACACACTTGTGAGTTCACCGCGGGTACTAAGATGCAGCACTTTTGTTTTGCTTTTTCATTATATTCTTTGTTTTACTGCTGCGTTTTACCACTGCCCTTCTGTGATATATTTCTTTGAAGATTAATAAATACATCTACCTAATAAATAAAGTGAGGTAGCGTCAGCTGGACTGTACCATGTGGCTTTTATTGTCCTCTCCAGCTCTGCCGTGGAGATGTAAATAGAGTCGGGAGTTAGGGAAGACGTGCTTAGGATTGTGTGGGATGAATTCTGCTCTTGCCTGTGTGCAGACAAGGCTGAATCTCTAAAATTTCAGTCTCCTTAACACATTTTTTTATTGACTTTTCACATTCTTTGGCATTTCCTGCAATGTGGTATACTTCATATATGACATGAGGCTCTCTGGAAAAAAGTACGGCAGCCTTCAGATTGCTGCGGTGGTTTACAGTTTACTCAGTGTTTCATCACTGCAAACACATATTACATCACACAGCCCTCACTGCCCTGCACACAGTCCTTCTCTTGTGATTATAGAAACACATCAGCTAAAAAACTACCATCAGGGTATCATTAGAAAATTTGGCAATATGAGGAGAGACTAAATATACTTTCTAATCAGAGTATAATAGACACCTGAGGCCAGAGGATGGTTAAAAAATACAAAAGAAAATACATGTGAGTATGTGTGTGACTGCTTATATTTGCGAGCCTCAGCAAGTGCATGTATGTGTGTGTTTTCGAGAGGAGAACAAGTGATATAAAAGAAAGATAGATGGTAGCACCAAATGGAGAGATAAAACAATGAGTCATACAGAGTGCCAGTGTAAAAGTCTATGCTTCATCACACATTGCTGTTAACACCTCCTAACTTTACTCGCTCTGTGACAGTGCAGTTCACAAACGGAGCTATAGGAGTGTTTAGGTTTATAATACTTGACTTTGACCTCCATACAGGGCTGGATATCATTAATCGCATTTGGATTTTTCTGAATAAATTTGCATGTAAGTGGCGATATGATAGCAAGAGTATGTTTTTGATACCTTGCTACTATACTATAAAGCTGCACTATTCAGTATATTTATATTATGAATTTAAAAAATGATAATGTGGTTGTAACATTGCGTAATGTGAACAATATGGAGTGTTTTAGCATCTTTTAGCTCATTGTTTTGGTTTTACAGATGCAACTTTACTCTTTCCGTAAACTCTCACTGCACTCAACCTCAAAACTGTGAAAAAGCTGTTAAACCCACAGTGTGCGCTGCCTGCCTAGCATCAGCAGACAAAATAAGCGACTAGCTAAAGATTAAAAATCAGCTAATAAGGTAACAAGAAATTCAGCAAAATCAACGCTAATGTTGCTCCAATTCTGCTGGGTGTGTAAATGGGCAACTGTTTGCTTACATGTTTGCCCAGACTTTATAAGGTGATAATATGTCAGTGTGGTGATTACAGCTTGTTGTATTGCCTCTTAAGCCGCGTTTCCACCTAGCCTTACAATACGGTTCAGTTCCATTCCGTTCGCTTTTTTTTCTGTCTCCACTGTGAAAAGTTGTGGATGGTACCAGTGGAACCATTCTACACAGTAAGAGGATCATCAAGTGTTTCCTGTGGGCTCTAGTAACACTTAACCCCTGAGCTTGGCTGAGAAGGACTGAATGCACAAACCCACTGTTTTTAAATATCCCATAGAGAGAGACTCTCACTGCAGCCTGTTTTATTTTTTTCTGAAAATGTGGGTGTACAACCCCGTTCTGTGGACGATAAACAATGGTGCAGACTGATAAAGGAAGAAGTACAGTGAGAGCTGGACGGAGCAGTGAGTGACAACAACGGCACCTATATGAAAGGGTACTGTTTGCAGTGGAAACGCTAGGGTCTAGGTACCATGTCTGAAGGGTTACTTCAGTCAATATATGCAGGCTCAAAGGAGTACTTCACCTGAAAATGACCAATTGTGTAGCAATTACTCACTGTGTGTTGCCTTGAATACGCGAAGAAAATGTTTTTCTCACAGTAATCAGGGGCTGTGTTTTGTTTTTGTTTTTTTAAAGGCATTTTGCCTTTAATGGATAGGACAGCCAAGTGTGAAGGGGGGGGAGAGAGAGAGAGAGAGAGAGAGAGAGAGAGAGAGAGAGAGGGGATGACATGCAGCAAAGGGCCACAGGCTGGACTTGAGCCCGGGCCGCTGCGGCAACAGCCTTGTATATGGGGCGCCTGCTCTACCACTAAGCCACCGACGCCCCTCAGGGGCTGTGTTTAATGACAGTTTATAAACTGTCGAACAGTAATGACTTTAATTCATAAAAATCTCAAAAATTCAAGGCAACACACTGTGAGTGATTAAAATACAAAAAGGTAATTTCACGGAATATAAGCATGTCTTTTTTTGTGTTCTTTAAAAAAAAGATGCCAACCTTCTAAAATCGTATGTGTCAAGCAGCCATGTAAGACCTTTACTTTAATCAAAGCTAAAATTGAGGGGAAAATGTTACTAAGGAACTATCCAGAACTCTGTCTGACCCCTAAATTACAGAGCTACAACATAACAGAAGACAGTGCAGCAGCAATTACAAACCTTGTGGTCGACTCTCCCTGCTCCTTCCTGCAGTTGACAGATGAGAAGAAGAAAAAAGATGTGTTAGAAAGTATTTTATCATAAAACATCAGCGTCAATTGTGCTTAAAAGACCATACCAATGCTTTTGCATCTTTTAGCCCATTTATTACAAATCCCAAAAATTTGACATCAAAACTAAGCATGCTGCTGTGTTTCAGAAATTTGAATGCATTTTTCCCATTGACTTCCGTATATTTTCGTATATTATAAAACTTAAGTAGCAGACTCTTGAAACTAGATTAAGTAATATAACAGTGAACATTCAGTCTGCATTAGCTTTTGTCCAAGTAGCCTACCATTATAGTTAAGAATAAAGACAACTGGTCATTTGGGGTAAAGGTTCTAGTGATACTGAGTATAGCTGGGAATCACCAGAAGAACCATGATATGATATTATCACAATACTTAAGGTCAGTGGCTGAATATAATAGTTTTAAAATTGTGTTTCAAATGCACTTTGCTCTAGAGGCCTCTTTTTGTGGGGATAGCCCCAAGCTCGTAATGTCAAGTGCCTTGAGCGTGGGAAATCCCCGCTGCAATCTGGCTATTTCCCAAGCACTGTTGTTGTCATCTGCTCGTAGCTGGCAGAAGTTAATGTTTCTTTGGTCACCCTGAGCTAGGTGGATTGACGCCTACAGCACCTCTGTACCAACTAGCCGCAGGATGTTGTTGTAACTAACTTGATGTCCATATTAATTGATTACACAACTGAAGTGTTTCAAGAGTCTGCTGCTTTTCAGATACAAGCGTTGTTTGTTTTGACACTGTACAGAAATAGATGGAAGCCAAAGGATGCCTGGCATTAAATTATTGAGGAAAAAAAAAATGACTGTGCATATGATTTGTAGTAAAAGACCTAAAACCTGCAAACACACTGGTATGGTCCAGTAAATCAGCATGCCAGAAAGATTGTTGCATTAAAGGCACTGTCAGCGACTGTTACAGAAGATTTGAAGGTAGCAACACTTGAATCAATAATAAGCAGTCCAGGGGAACTAGACCTAAACAAAGAACAGGCTCACTACAAACATGCAGGTCAATGCAGAATCTCCGAGCAAACTAAGGAAGCACTTGCAACAAGAGAAGGTAGTGACTGAGTGACTGATGGTCTTTTCACTTAATCACTTTAAGAAGTGTCTTTGTCAGCAAGTACAGTAGCCTATGTGTTTTGTTCATAAAGGTCATTATGACTGCATAACTAGGCTACATACTAGATGCCTCATAGATGGTTTTCCTAATATTTCCAGGCTCTGTAGACGGGTTTCTGAAGGACGCCATTGGGACATGTGCAGGTACATGTAGGGTAGAAACTGGAATGAGTGCTCGATTGGGAGATCAACATGAAAATTTGTGTTTTATGCTATAAACTGTACAAATTACAAAACGAATGGTTGGAGGATGTCCCAAAAAGGAACCATCCCAGTTATCTGAGGGTGCAGAGTTAGCCAATATTTAGCCATGTGGTCAGAGCTTTAGATTTAATTAAGATGGTGGTTTGTTTTAAACTGAATCTGACATAGCTTATGTCTAGTGTCACATGTTGACATTACTAATATAATATCCAGAATGAGGAAGCTCTATGCTCTTAACTTGCACCACAGGAGAACAGCAGGAACTTTCTGCATGCTAACCTAACTGTTGCTAACTTCACTTGTGTGCATGTGGGTGGGCAGGCAGAGGGTGCTTGCTGTTGCTCTGGATGGGGAACTGCCCATTGGTCCGACAGCCCATTGTTCCGACCATACTAAACCCATTGTTCCGAAGTCCGTTCCGAAATCATCATGATGCCCTGTGGTTAAGGTCTGGTTAGGTTTAGGCACAAAAACCACTTGGTTAGGGTTAGGAAAAGATCATGGTGTGGGTTAAAATGAAAAAGAAAGTGACAAACACATAAGCCGTGACGTGAGCCTGCTTCGCCTCAAGCCTTTCCCAGCTGACCCAGAGCCGGTCGTGGCGCACCATCAAGGCAGAAACACGCCCGCTGGGAGCTGTTCAGCACTGCGGACCGTCAGACTAATGGGATGTCGGGCCAATGGGCTGACGGATCAATGACATGGACCCCTCTGGATGAGGGCAAGTGGCTGTGTGCAAATAGTTTGTTGGGCATAGGGAAACGGAGCTCTGTATGGGTAGGCCTACATGAGACCCTAAAAAAAAGGGTGGCTCACACACCAGTTTATCCTCCATTGTTCACCAACTGTAAAGTTGTTGTCGTGACCACCATAGAAGGCTCGCCTCTCAAATAATCTGACTGGACAATGGGAAAAAAAGCAGAGATGATGTGGGCACAGGGAAACAGAGATCTGTGTGGGTACATGAGACCCCAAAAATAGGGGTGATCAGGGGGAGTACCACCAGTTGGCCCAGTAGCTTCACCTCGATGATGGCCGTTTTCAGGCATATTTTAGGATGACACAGGGGCAGTTTTACAGCCTGCTGTCTATCGTTGGGCTTGCATAACAAAAATTAATACTAACTACAGTGGTCCTGCCAAGCAGCTGGGCACCACCAGTTTCTCCTGCATTGTTCACCAACTGTAAACCTCTCACATTATCCAATTGGACAATGGTAAAAAAAAAAAAAGCTTTTCTGCTCTGAGTTGAAGTTTTTTCTACTCAAGGAATTCAGAGCACTCTGGCAAGAATGCCAGATGCCTAAAGCGCAGAAACACAAGGCGTGTGGCAACCTAAAAACAGTGAGCAAAAAGCTTCATTCTTATTAACACCAACAACAAAAAGCCGCCTCCAGCTTCTAAAATGCTTCCTGTGTGATCAGGGCCTATGTTTCCTACAGTGCACTACAACCTTTAAGAATCCCATCTCTACAATCCAACTGCTTTTTTTGGCAGGGCACGCCCTGCATAGCATTCAAGTGCTAGGATTGAGAGGTGTCCATGCTCGTGCAATGCAAGAGTGTTTATTCTGATCATAGCTGCGAAGCTTTATCTGTCAATGCGGGTAATTTAATGAATTACAAAACATCATATTTTATAAAGTCTTGATACATGTTTTGTTTGAAAAAATCTGGAGGCTTTGCCGGGGCTGGAGAGGCAGTCAAAGCAGGTGAGAGGAAAGCCAGGCCCCACAAGCATGTCGGAGGCTCCACATCCAAGGGTGTGTGGACACTGGAGGACAGCTGACAGCGGGCACTCAGCTGAGGGTACAGACCCCTTAGACCTCCCGCCGTCCCTCTGGTTCTCCAACATGCCCTGTGGACCCTGGCTCTCCTCTTACTTGCTATAACTGCCTCTCCAGCTCCTGGTAAATCCTCCAGCATGCTCGACTCTTGACTTTCAGCTGCTTGGCTCCATATGCAGTCTCTAGCATACCCCCCTGACCCAGGCTCTGCTCTGCTCGTCCACCAGAGAACCAAAGGGTGTGCAGCAGGGTCGGTGCCCACAGCTCAGGGCTAAGGCTCCTCTGTCAGCTTTCCCTAAGTGTCCACATACTACTAAATGTGGAGCTGTGGACTTTGTCTTTTTTTCTAAGGATTTCATACCCCTGCTCTTCAAACGCTATGATTCAATGAATAAAGTCTTGCGCTCAAGCCAATCACAGCGCAGTAGGGCAGGACTTGCCAAGAAAAGCAGTGGGATCCATAATAACACGTCGCTGCTGCTAGTAGCTGCCATTTCTCATTGGATATGTGACATGTTAGGTAGCTAGTGCTGATAGAAGTGTACCAAGGTTGGCATGCAGTTAAAAGAGTTTTGGGAATGTAACGATGAGATAAACAAGAAACAGCAATGGTTTCTAGAAAGTCATTGCTAAATTGCAAAAATATGCATATTAAGACTATATTGAGCCATACTCCACCAAAGCCTCTGACAGACTTAAGTATGTGCACTAAACCTCTAAATTACTCAAGGCATCTGAGGAGAAGCTTGATCGGCTCATTGAGGCCACAAGCGCCATCATAAACAGATACTGAGATAATGCTAAAATTGCTGCCTCAGACCTTCAAAGTGACATCAGTGAAGGTTCCTGGCCCATTGAGCACTCAACTGACTTCAGGCAAATACAGAGAGCCTGACTCAGTGCGAACTCTGCCGAGGGATAAAATGTTCATTTATATAATTGCAACAAAAATTAAGGTTGTTTGGAGATGCCTTAGAAGTCAGCGTGTTTCTGTTTATTCAAGCAAGCGGAGACGAACAGAGCCTGGAAATGTTCAGTCTAATTGATGGCTGTGAACCGATTTCATATAAGGAAAAGAAAATTATGAAATCAATGTACATATATTACTTTTTTAAACAAAGAGAGCAACACCGATACAATAAACAATAAGACAGAGCAGAAAAAAGGTGGAATCATTTTAAAACTTAAAATGTACAGAATTGAAGTACAGGAGAAGACGGCTTGAGTGGCACAGACACCAAATACAGACACCAGCTGCCATAGTTGTACCTACTTTGTAGGGCTGCAGGTATGCAACGCCTTCAAGTGAGGCTTCCAGGTAGCAATGGAAACCGAGTTCTCATCAGCCGCATAACTACGCCAAACACACTGCATGCAGAATACACAAAACCAGGAAGGAGAAAAAGGTACAAAGAGGAGACCCCCCCCCCAACCCCAAACAATAAATAAATAAATGGGGAGGATTAAAAAATAAATAAATAAATAAATACAACAAAAACAAGGCAGAGGAGGGGTCAGAAGGAGGAGAAAGAAGAGGAAGAGGAGAATAGAAAAGAAAACAAATTAAAAAGCTGATTAGTGAAAACCAAAAAACAGGTGTGGTCTGTGGCTGGGCGGAGGTCAGGCATGGATACATGCCTGTGGGAAGGCAGGAGGCTCTCATAGTGCCGCCAAGTGGCATCCAGGTAGGGCCTGGTGCTGTCGGTGGAGTAATAACGCCACGCAGCCTGGTACAACATGGGGACAGACGGGATGAAGAGGAGCAGGAGGAGGTAGAGGGAGATGAGAACATAAGATGGGAGAGAAAGGTGGGAGGGGGAAGCAAAAGAGGAGGAAAATGGAGAAGCATGTGGGAGGAAAGTAGGTGAGGGAGCAGAGGAAGAGGAGGAAGCGTGTGGAGAATAACGTGAGGTCGGCACCACTAAAAGTCCAGATGAAACAAAAGGCGTGTGGCTGGAAAAGAAGGAAATGTGTGAAGCAGACAGGGGGAGTGGCAAGAATGGGTCTGTCAAACTGGTGTTTCTGGGTTTAAAAAAGGGAAGGGGTGAAAAAACCTCCCAGAGATGAGAGAGCTTAGTGAGAAGTGAGGATGAGGGGGCTGGACAGAGTGAAGCTACATGCTATCTGCTTTTTATTTGGTAGTTTCAGTTTTGGGGGAAAAAGAGAACCTGGAGAATCATAAAACCATGTAAACACATTTAATATTGTGCAAGCCTTCAGCTGATGCTGATGTTTATTGTTTTGAATAACAGCAACAATTCATAATAACAATATTAATAACAATAATAACAATATTTTCCAGCCTAAAAACATTAATGTGTGTCAAAGAAACAGGAAGAGAGCAGGCTCTCTGCTTTACCTGGATGAGGTAGGCGGCTGGGTTTCTCCTCTTCTCAAAGTGCTTCTGTCTGTGCTGCTCCTGGACCTTCAGGGCAAAGCCTGAGCCCAGAATACCCTGGTGTGATATTATTAGGGTTAAATACTGTATGCATGTGTACAGCAAAGAGTCAGTGAGCTGCTGAGAAAGATGTGACAACACAAATGAGAACGCCTATTGTGGCTGCATGAAAAATTACATTCTCTCTAATGCTATGGACATTGTGGATAAGGTGGCACTATTTATCTCCAGAGTATATATATGATAGAGTTTATCCATACATCCATCCATTTTCATCTGTTTATCTGGGTTGGGTCATGGGGGCAGCAGGCCGAGCAAAGCACCCCAGACATCCCTCTCCCCAGCAACGCTTTCCAGCTCCTCCTGGGGGACCCCAAGGTGTTCCCAGGCCAGATGAGATATGTAATCCCTCCAGCATGTTCTGGGTCTGCCCCGGGGCCTCCTACCAGTGGGACGTGCCCGGAATACCTCTAACAGGAGGCACCCAGGAGGCATTCTGATCAGATGCCTGAACTACCTCAACAGACCCCTTTCGACACAAAGGAGCAGCAGCTCTACTTCGAGCTCCCTCCAGAAGTCCGAGCTCCTCACCCTATCTCTAAGGCTGAGCCCAGCCACCCCACGGAAAAAACTCATTTCCACCACTTGTATCTGTGATCTCATTCTTTCAGTCACTACCCAGAGCTCATGACCATAGGTGAGGGTTGGGACGTAGATGGACCAGTAAATCGAAAGCTTTGCCTTCTGGCTCAGCTCCCTCTTCACCACGACGGATTGGCACAGTGCCCGCATCACTGCAGAAGCCTCGCCGATCCACCGATCCATCTCATGCTCCATTCTACCCTCACTTGTGAAAAGGACCCTGAGGTACTTGAACTCCCTCTTTTGGGGCAGTAACGATCGAGTTTAGTACTGGGTTAATTGTGAAGCCTAATATAGTCTCGCCAAAACATATTGTGTGTATCCATGAAGCAAGCCAATTTCTGGAATAGTTTGGAAACTGTATTGTTTAATACTTATGTTTACATCAGCTGTTCCTCTTGTTCTTTGCTTTGTTGCTGGTGTATTGCAACAACTGTCAAAGTTAGTTGAGTTACTTCAACCCTCATATAAAAACCCTGTCACATATAAGGTGAAAGAAAAGTAAATGTCAACTTTTCTGAATTTTAAATTAATATTTTTTTACTCCCCTTAAGATAAACCTCACAGACCTGCAATCAAATTTTAGGCAAAAAAATACAAAAATAAAGTGGCACACTTGCTGTGTAAATAACCTGCCTGCAGCCAATTAAACCTTCAAACTCATGTGTCAGAAGAGCACTGAAAAATCTGACAAAAAATACATAAATAACGGATCTCCTCTAAGAATACAGACTTACAGCTGGCAAAGCAAAGAAGGAGATGCCAAGGAGGGCAAACCCTGCGGACAGCATCCGTCCTGTCCATGTCTTTGGTGTCTTGTCTCCATAACCAATGGTTGTCAGCGTGATCTGTGGGAAACAAATGAGTCATGTTCAGGTCCTGAATGATGCTCATGTTGAGGCTCTGGTAATTTATACAAATGACAGAAATTTCCAGGTGATGTTACACTTATTTGAAGAATTTATTCACAACTTGGCAACCCAAGCTGTCAATAATGGCTTACAGCATTGGTATACGTCTTATTATTAACATACAAAACCATTACTAAGCCTAATAAAGGGCACCTTATTAAGGTGTTTTTACTCGTCATTTTTCATTGTTGCATGAGAAAAAAATACCAGGATGTTCTAGTGCATCCATTCACATTTTGCAGTACGCAAGGCACTATGCTTTTCTGGCTAGTCTGACCCACAATCCTTTGCACAGCAGAGGATACATCACATCGACTGAGCTGCAGACAGACGACAGCTCATTGACAGCCGACAACAGCCGCAATGACAGATGACGCCGCGTTCAAGTGACTGATGACCAGTCAAATACATAGTAATAGGCAGGAATATAAATGGTTTAAATGAGCAAAATAATCAAGATAACCTACAACAAAGGGACATAACTTTGAAACTAGTGAGCGAGATGTTTTGACTTTATTCTTTTCACTTTTGACCTGTGTCAAAAGAACAAATGAACAAATGAGTTATAATGAGTTATAATCAGTCTATCTAACCAAACATTTTCAGTTATTTTCCTTCTGAGTTACATGTCTTTTGGTGTGTATGACTGCAATATTTGCATGTTTTTTCTTTTGCATACTGCTCGACTTTGCCACATAGAGGCATGATTTGCAATGATGCCTTCAGGCACTGCAGTGCGAGTGATTAGACCTGTGTGGAGCGAGCCTGTACGGCCTTGGTTTCAAGAACAGCGATGAGAGCCTGAGGCGGAATGTTTATTCTGCCTTAAAAAAAGGTTTCTGAAGCACAGTATGTGCGTTCTTGTTATTGTTTACGTGTGAAGACCTACTTCAATCTATAAGGATGATGTGTGAAGACACACTGAGGGGCCATTTTGAAAATGTTATACCTTTAAGTGGCTGCGATGAAGCAAAGAGAGGACTAAGATAAGAAAAGGATCCACTGGATTACGTTTTAATAAAAGAAGATAATGATTCATAGTGATGGCACTTAGCACATCAAAATATGACCAGTGAAGAGAGCCTCTTACATGTGTTCAGCTGAATAGGAGCATTAATGTGGCATATTCATTATTTAATGACAGGAGCAAATAAACCTGGCTGTGAACCGGAGCTGGCACCGCTTTTATAACTCCCTGCTCGCTTCCAGGACTCTGTTTGTCCGCTTGTTTTATCTGTCTCTCCATCTATACATACTGTATATCCACCTATCCACCTATCTATCTGTCTCTCTGTTTTGGCAGACAGATCAGTCTGGATTATCTTTCATTCAGGCTCTGCTTGCCCTGCATGACAAAGACGGCTGCAGCCATTTGGCATCATTATGATTTTTTGAGCTGGTATGAAAATGGTGGTTAATGGAGCCACACAGAGCTAATGTTTATGGAGGAGCTGTCAATGCTCAGAGGCAATGACAAACTGCAGAAAATAATAGCCTCCAATGCAGGTTACATTTAAGTGAAGAGGTAATAGTGCTGACATATCAAAAGGGTTTACTTGTGGGAATGGTTGTGACAAGGAATCAAAACTGTGTTGGAAATAAAAAGAATATTTTAAAATGGCCTTTGTTCCACCCTAAATTGTCTAGTGATTGTTCCCTGGTGTGTTTTTTTTGTGGGTCCTCAGTGGCCTATATTTGTTCTTTGTTTTATTTAAATTTTTTATTGCTTTGTTTTAATTGTTACATTGCTTTTGTTGTTATTGATTGCATGTTTTATGGTTTTATTGTTTCACTGTACTTTTTAAAGCACTTTATTCCGTGAGAGGTGCTATATTGAAAATAAATGTATTATTATTATTATTATTATTATTATTTTTATTATAACATCATTTGAAAAGAATAATTATTTAATCTTATTTAAAAATGATAAATTTATTTAAATTAATTTGTATTGATTGATTATTTTTCTTATAATTTTAAAATAAGATGGTTAACAAATATCAATCATCATTGTCATTGTGTATTAAATTTTTTGGATTTTTTATTTTGTTTCTTTTTTTATTTTATTCTGTTATATTTATTTATTTTTGCCGTCTTATTTTATTTTTTTTACCTAAACATAGTAGAGAATGAGTATCTTTTGAGCATATACTAAGTAAACATGATAGGTATAATACGCTTCTGCTTTAGCCTTTTGTTTTTCATTTTAATCTAATTCCTTGGTGTTATTTATTCTTTTTTATGTGCATTCCTTTTTCGACTATTACTACTACTACTAAGAAGTGTAACTTTGAAATGTCCTGTTGCCCAAGAAACCAGGCTGTGACTGTGAGAAGAAATCAATTCAGAAATACAACCTACAGCTATAGATAGCCTTGACAAGCCTGGACACGGTGTCTGCCAGCCGTCTACACAACCCATCCAGGTCACAGTCTGTTTGTCCCCTTGCCATCGGGAAAGAGATATAAATCCATCAAAGTCTGAACAAACACATCGAAGACGAGTGGATGCCTCTGTCACTCCCCACCCTCCAATATCTGTTGAGGACTGTAAACTATAATTTTGTTGTGAGGCTACAGTGACAGTAAAATGTGTGATGTCGTATAGAGGAGGTGGAAAGAAAGCTTGTCTGGCAAGTGTTGAAATCATCATTCCCATTTTGAGTTTTCACTGAATCCTGGCAAACAGAGCTGGAGACATTCTTCCAAACTCACCGTGCCCCACCACAGAGCATCAGCGTAAGTTGCAAACTCCTTGTTGAACTTGTTCTCCACAAGGTAGACGAGGAACGAAGAGAAGATGAGAACCAGGAAGCCGATGTACCAGGCGGTTACCAGCTCCTGCAGACAGAGGTCAAAGGTTAGAGAGTGAATGCGGGAAAAAAAAGAGAACTGAGTTAATGCACAACCACTCTGGCATATGAGCATTCACAGCTGATCAAACTAAATCGGTTTTTCTATGAACTCTGAGGACAAAACGTTCTGTGTGATAGAATGACCAGGTGATGCCAGCAAAAGTTGTTTTAAATCACTGCAGATTATTTTGTCAAATTCAAGTCCTGTCCCTTCTAGCTGTTACAGTTGGGTGCGAGCTTTTCATAGAAACCCTAATACAAAAGTGCACAAAAGCAGGTACATATGTTGTTGCTGTTATCAGGCCAGTACTTCCCAGCATTTTTCATCTGATTAATACCACCTCCAGCAGGCCAAACAGCGAACTCTGACAACAACGCAGATGTAGATGAAGATTCTACTTATTCCAACATGATTAGTAAGAGGATATTGCCATGGGTCTGGGTCCCAGTCCTGACCACCAATATACACAGCCCTACAGTAGCTGATGCTGACTACCCTGGACTGGCTCCCACTGCACTGCACTCTGAAAATGCACCAATCTCCAGCTCAGACTCCACTGTTATGTCAATGAACTTTACCCACTGCTGCTCTCCGCTCTTACTGCTGCTCATGGATCCTGGTGGATGCTGTTGCTGATACACATTCTCTACTCAAGCATTATATGTATGTTATGTCTGTAGAAACAGAACAAGAGTAGAACAAATTAACATCGCAGGATGGTCAGAGCAGGGGCCATTTTAATGTGTACCATTGCCACTGCTTCCACTGTAGCAGGCTAATTTCTGTATGATCAAACCAGCTTGTCGCAAACTCACTCAGGTGAGGTTTTGCACAAACGACCAAACAGGCAATGGCGCAGTTACATTACTTTTTTTTAAAATAAGCAATCTGCTACTTTTAAAATAACTGTTATTCCCCTGTTTATTTTGTTGCCATTAATTACATGTTTGCTGAAACATGATGTAAAATTACTGTAGCTGCCTCCAAAGGAGTGAGAGTCGCTGCTCAGCAGACAGCTGGGAGGCAGAGAGACCACGAGGATAAACATCCTGCAGATGGTCTAGGAGGGTTCAATCAATATTTGTGAGCGTGAGCTACTCTCTCTCAAAGCCAGAAACAAAGAAAAATTCAACAAGAATTTTCTGTTTTTGGATTCTTCGTTCACCGTGGAGGCATGCAAGAAAACGTTTTCTCAAGTCTCAAACTTGGGAGGTCATAGGGTATAAAGTCTGGAGCCTGATTTTGTGAACGCACAAAATGTTTGTTTTCTTGTTTATAACCAAGTGAGCTTTAGGCCATATCCAAACAAAGTCGGAACCGATTTCGTTTTTTTAAAAGTTTTCCATAAACACGGAATAGGTACGCAGACATGAAGCCACTGAAAACGCTGTAGTATATATGCAAGGCCTGTAAGTGGCGCTGCAACGCTGCCACAAAGTACACCAAAACCAGAGAATAAGAAACAGAGCATGTGCATAAAACTCGTGCGATGTAAACAAACACGAAGAAGAAGATGATGGAAAATACAAATGCCAGAGGAGCCCGCTTTGTATGGACTGACAACGAGGTAGAGCTGCTACTTAGGGTCACACTTGATTACAAAACTACAAAACTGCAGGAGAATATTGACTAGCGCATGTGGGTTAAAGGAGAGGTGGGGTTATGGCGTCATCGTTTCAGAAAAGAGGCGTACTGTGTTGTAAATATGGAAACGCGAAGGTGGTGTCTTCAGATTTTTTCACTCTGGGACCCGGTTTCAAAAGTTGGCTTATTTGGGCTCCTAAAACGCTGGTTCCGTGTTTACGAAAGGTCTATACGATAAAAAACCGTTGCGGATACACCTAATCTCGTCTCCATGTGGACATGGCCTTATTCTGCTGTAGTGTTCCCAGTTCTGAAACCAAAAATGTACCCAGATAGAGTCCTATAATCACTGTTATCTACAACATCTTTCACGATTCACTATCTAAGGAGCAGCTCCAGACTTTATACCCTATGACATCACAAAACTTTTAGCATTGTAGTTTTTGGATTTGGGAGAGACTTGTTCATTTTTACTATTTTTTCTTTTTTTTTTTTATTAATATTTTGATCTTAGACCAGCTGTTCCCAACTGGTTCAGCCACAGAGTCCGCATTTCTCCTTAGTCTTTAGTTTGAGGTCCAAAAGGTTTAATACATTGAGCGTCATACTTGCGTTTGGCCATGTCGTTGAGGTAGTTTGCTAGGAAATTTACTGTATCTAAAAATAAAGTGTGTTTTTTTTTACAAAGTTGACATGTTTGGCCCACAACCCAGTTTGGCACCATGACCCACCAGTTGCAAACCACTGTCTTAGACCACAGGGGAATGTATGAATTCTAAAAACAGGTGAAGTTCCCTTTAAGAAGTAATTTCAACCAAACCAGAGCTGATGATTGTTGGAACAGTGGACTAACTACCTAGATGACTAACAAGACTAATGAAGATGGTTTTGGTGAGTTTCATTTAGTTTCAGTCAAGAGTGAATAAAGTGTGTTTTCTTAGTTAAAAGTTAAAAGGTAATCATGCTAACAGTAGTGAAGGTATGGAGAAAGACACTTGGATTGGATGGTTATAGTGTTCTGTTTAATGAGGACAATAGGGGTAAGAACAGGCCAAAACTACATTTCCAAACTAGTGAGTGTGGCACACTTCATGACCCTACTGACATGTGTTGTCACCATGATTATTATTATTATTATTATAATATTATAATCCTTTCTATTCTTTCACTTTCTAGGTATTTGATTCAAAGTGTCGATGCATTCAAATAAAGAAAAGAAAAATGCTTTGTGACTATTTTCTACAGAAGAGATACTCCCTTTGAAAACTGTGGACACCACAAGTGAAATTCCACTCACACTAACTGTATTGGAAGACAGATCTCAAAACCAAAACTATCTACATGGCTACATACAACCAGAAGCCGCAACATATATGAACTGAATCTTTAAGCCAGTTCAGCTGTGTGTGATCTTCTTTTACTTCTGGCTGCATAATTGGTTTGGCGGTAATTTCTCACTCAGTATAAACGAGAAACAATGGCCTGGTGAGAAACTTCCATAAATCATCTGCAGTGGCCCAAAAAGCCCTTTATATAATCCCTTACAAAACACATCCTCCCATTCATTTAAAATGTGATGGGGACTATTCAGTCTGAATGTTCAGCTTTGTTAAAAGCGAAGAACTGTGTCAGCAACAATGACCTGTCCTGGCTTCTGCATCTGCGGGGGTCATACTAATCTAACCGAGAAGTAAAAAGAAGTTTTCAGTGGATTTGTGTGGGCTGATCGAGGTGGAGCACGGAGAGATGAGAATGAGTCGAGGTACGAAAGGTAAGAAATACCTGAAAAGAATAAGTCAGGGAGTCGAATAGTTCAAGTTCTAAAACACTATCTATTTTCAGTACCTGTCTTTATTAAGTTTTATAACGTTTGATAATTTAATATAAACGAAATGAATGCTTTCACATAGTGACACAAAGAAAGTCAGTATGGATATAGTATGAATTATATACATACATTTCCCAGTTTTAAATGTGTGTCTCTGTGTTAATTGATAATTTATCTCTTGTTATGCCAAATATATGTCAGAAAAATCTGTATCAGAGTGTTTTTACACCAAAATCCATCGCTTTTTTCTTTCTGTGAAACCAGGTAAAACAGTTTCAGATGTTCGATGACTCATCCTGCACTCAGGTGTGTTTACCAAAGTCCATCAAATCCAGTCCAAATCAAATGAGACTTCTGGCGACCAGCTAGCCACACCAGTCATACAAAACTACACTTCACTGTTTGTGGGTTGTAGTAGCTACAGAGCAGTGGGGAGAGAGATAGGAGGATATCAGTGGGCAAAACCTTTGTTTTCATTTCCAAAGCAATGTGGCGGAGGTCTAATCCCTTCATCTCTCCTTCTACCTCCTCCTGGTCAAACAGTGAGGGATGTGTGTGTGGCGCCAATAGTATATTATGAATATTATATATAATATTTATCATGTACAGTTTGATACAAGTAGTGCTGTGCCTGAATCAGTTGACCCTGGACTTCTTGACTGATGATTCCAATCACTGACCTATTAGGGTTAATCCTAGACTACAAAAATTGAGCATAGTGTTAGTTCAGGCAGGACATGATGTCAAGCTCAGCTCACATCCCAGCTACATCAGCTGATCTCAAACAGCCCAATCTACTGATGGAGCACCTGATTGATGGAAGGGAGTCAGCTGATAGATCACATGATTCCTTTCTATGCAACCAACTGGCGAATCTCATTCAGGGCGCCCTATTTAAACTGCTCTGGCCTGCCTACTGTTGCTGCTTCTTTTCATGCTGTGTCTGACTTATCAGTGTCATTTCTGTTTGTCATTGATGCTGCTTTGCTCTGTACATGGGGCGGTCTTTGCTGCTGCTCTCTCTGCCTTAGGCTTTCCACGTAGGCGCATGGAAGGGCAGAGAGGTCCCAGAACAGAGCCATACAAGCAAACGATCAAATTGCAAACAGTTTTCAAAGTGGTCCTGACTGAACTGGTTTTCATGACAATACTCAAATGCTCATCCTAGAAACAAATCATTACCATTTGTCCATTAGTCCATTAGTGCTGGGCGGTATACCGGTTCATACCGAATACCGGTGTTTATTTTTCTTATGATATGAATTCTTCATATACTCCAATACCGGTGAGTATGTAGCATACACAACGTTGAGAACGCCGCGCGGCGGAATGTAGTGCCACAGGACATTGTTTGACAGGGGACTGTTTTGCAGTTGCACTAAACAAGTATGTGAGGGCACAACGGCGCGTTGAGCGGTGAAGATGGATAAAAACAGTGAAAGTTCTGAAACTGAAGTTCCAGAACGAGAACATGACACCGAAGAATTGTACCGAAAAGAGGAGCCATGTCTGTTGTTTGGAAGTTCTTTGGCTTTAAAAAAACCCGACATCAATCAAACAACAATTCTCTGCAAATGTTGTAGAGCTAAAGTTGTAGCCGCAGGAGGCAAAGTCCATCGATATACTTTTGAAAAATACTGTGATATAAATTTTTGGTCATACCGCCCAGCACTACTGTCCATGTAAGCTCACTGTACTATATCTATGGTACATACTGTATGGGGCAGCACATGGTTTAGTGAGTTCAGGATGTCACACTGGAAGTCACAAAGTCAAGGCCCTATGTAAATCATAAGCCGAAAGCTCATCACCTCTGAGAGATCTTGTTCTATTGGTAACAACAGCAACAGCAGGTGTGTATATGCATTGACTGTTCATGTGTGCCAGCCCACCTTGCTGTGTGCGTAGACCACAGAGCCCAGCAGCTTCCAGGTGCCTCCTCTTCGATCCATTCGTACCATGCGTAGAATCTGCAGGAAACGCAGGCTCCGCAGGACTGAGGTGGCAAAGATGTTTCCCTGGCTACCAGCCGACACCACCGCCACCGACGCTATCAGCACTATGATGTCTGGAGATAAGAGACGAAACACACACAAGGGCTCAGATAAATAAAATTAGCATAAATCATTACTCACTATGACTCAGCCATGGAAAGAATATACAGTATATGTGGCAGAATGTTCACACATTTAAGTTTTATACATTTCCAATATTTAACTTAATTTATTTACCAACCGTGACAACGTCATGACGGCTGGTATTGTTTTCACCTTGTCAGTCTGTATGTGTGTTTCATCATGGAAAAATGTGGTCATAGAGACACCTACTGTAGCAGGAACGACCACAGAAGCCATTTTGAGAACATTGCCAGGTGTATATATATAGTTGAGATCACAATGAAGGCTGACATTGAAGATGGGAGTGGTTCAAAAAAGGGACAATGAAGTAGGGAGGTAGGAAGAAGGGAAGGAGCTGTTGCCCCCCACATTACCCCCTTCATTTTAATGCTGCATTCAAAATGGAACTTGTGAGCTCGTGTTTACAACATGGGAAGTCAAGCACATGAAGTCATAAACTTTGAGCTCGCAGAATATTTCCACTTATAGAGCTGTGAAGACCACAACAGAGGAAGTGTTCATATGGACTCTTCATGTGAACATGGTAAACACGACCCCATTTGAACGCAACATACAGTTAGCTATCCCTGTATCGGATCTGGAGCGACCCCACTGAAGGAAGGTCTCCTCTTTATTATACTTGTTGATGAAGACTGGTCTAATTCAGGTTAGCTGAGTTCATTAAATTTGAGCAAATGATGATTTGTTTAAAACGTGAGATGCAAAATCAACATTTGTATCATCCAAATACACCCAAACTGAAGCTCTATGAATAGATTACACACACTTATGCACACAGGAACAAAAAGAAATAGAGTAGACTTGTCACAGAAGCTGAAAAATGTTCACCCCGATAGCTTAAAAGTCCATCCTAAAGGCAAGTATATCTCACTAATATTGATCCTAATGTGAAACTGTCCCTTTAAACAGGCAGGCAGGATGGCTCATCCAAGCCTGGAGGTCAGAATATCTGGGACTGGCTTGATGTCTATCATGTTGCTGCAATAACAGCAACACACTGTTGTCACCTTACTCTCGCCCCTCAGTGAGACAAATTAACCCAACAAAGGCTCCATATTACTGGAGCTGACATAATCTGCCACGGGCATCAACAGCACAATAATATACTGCGGTGTGTACTCTTCCTATATACACTATATGTTTATATAAGTCGCTTGGATACCACATTAATCTGCTGTGGACACAAAGAGGACAGTGGGGAGGAGGGGACGAACTAAAGTACTGATCTGTGATGAACACATTTTTATTTTTATTTTTTGCATTGTATTTCTGAAATTATTAAAATCTCTACACTGCATGTCACTGAGTCTCTTATGGTCTAGTTTCAGATTTGCTTCTCATAAACGCAGGAAAGCTGTACTGGTGTATGTGCTGCAAATAGTGACTGACAAACATCAACAAACAAGAAACAGAAGGACAGACAGTTACAGAAACAAGCTCCTATGTTTCAAGAAAAAAAAATCTCTTATTTCCCACTTCGCAAACAGATCTTCCATTTCAGTGACGCTCCATGTGAAACTTTTCCCTTAAGTAGTGTTATTTAGTGTACTGTGTGCAAGATGTTTTTTTCCTTATATAGAACCATCCTGTCTGCTCCTGTCCTTCTACCGAACCCGTTTCGTGAGAGAAAGTGCTGACCAAGGTGTGTCTAATGGCTTCCCTTAACAGAAAAAAACACGAACCAGTTGAGCCATAGTGGGGAGATGGAAAAGGGGAAAGTCAGCAGCAGCAGCAGCACCATGAAAAATACATTAATGACACCCAGGAGGTGACCGTCTCCGGCGCACCCACAGGGTTGCAGCAGGTTCACTCCCTTTGAAGGTGCAGAGAGAAAAAAACACGAGGAAAGTGACAGTAGGATGAATGTGTGTGTGTGTGTGTGTATGTGTGTGTGTGTGTATGAATTTAAGTATCAGTGTGTGTGGTCAGTGAAAGCATCTGCAAACCACCTCCTTCGCTTTCTGGCTCTATAACTGACAGTCATAAGCTTCAAGAACACTATAATTTTCATTAAGAGAAAATTGCTTGCTTTTTTACATCATGATTTCAATGTGCACACAGCACCAGCTTCAGGTAGCCAGCTGGGAACAGATGCAATAAATGTAAAGTAATGGGAGTAAAGTAAATTTTCCACATATGTATAAAGCACTAAAGCACTATAAGTAAGTTATTTAAACAGCTTGTGTAAAAGAATGATTCTGTCCCAAGATTTTTGATGCATATAAGTGGTTGATCACTGTAATCATGATCACTACAAGTCGTTTCCACTGCATGCAGAAGTGGGACAGTTCTTAAATGGTTCAGGTCCGATTTAACTGGCAAGCAATTTTATGTGGCCATGGATGAACACTCCTCTGATAAAGGTAACCTTACATGTGGTGTCCCGCAGGGCTCTATTTTAGGCCTAGTTCTCTTCAATCTGTAAAAACTTCCACTCTGAAATATTATTAGAGATCACAACATCCATTTTCATGATTACACAAACAATACTCAACTATATATCTCTGTAAATTTAAATGACTATAGTTCGTTCAATAACCTGACTGTATGTGTACCTGACACAAGTTTGTAGATGGATCAGAACTTCTTACAGTTAAACCAAGAAAAGACTGAGCTTCTTGTTTTTGGAGCAAAAGCCGATAGAGAAAAATTATTTGACCACCTAAATTTATTTGCACTGAACACCAAGGAACATGTACAAATCCTTTGTGTTATCATTGATCCTGACCTAGACTTTGAACATCATATTAGAGACGTGACTTAAGTGTCCTTTTATCACTTGAGGAATATCGCTAGAGTCAAACCGTTTCGCTCCCATGCAGATACAAAAAAGTTGATTCACGCCTTTATTTCCAGCCAACTGGACTATTGTGACGCTCTTCTGTCTGGTGTGTCTAATGCCCTCTATACACTGTGCGATTTTAGCAATCTTATAAGACCATTGCATTGACACACTGTGAGACGTGGATCTAATAAACTTTGGTACGACGTCAAGTTTGATGTGTGCAGATTGTACGATGGCCGTTTACTACTGAATCGCTGGTTACAACGTACGTCAATATGCAACGTCATCAGCGTGCACCGCATCAGCCTACGTCATCCATCTGCGCCACCATAGGTAGCTTGCTCACCTGGAAGTTTCAGTTCCGCCGCAATTTCCTTCCATGCAGTGTCTTTGTTTCTCACGGTCATGATAGCAGCTGTAGAAAACATCAAATAAACAAGGCTTCTGCTGCCACAGCTCCACCAAACTTTCCTCTTTCTGGGAGTTCCACAGACTTCTTTTTGTTCATTTTACCTCCATGGCAAGTGATCATTTGTTTGGGTTTGGTGACCATTGTGTCATTTCGTGCTGCATTTCTATTGGTTGATTAGTAGACGTAGGTCGTAGCAGCTGTCACACTGTGAGATAGTCATCCTAAATTTCTGACACCCTCAGAATTTTATCTCAGGTTATCTTTGGTCACAAGATGTTGACAACGGCCGTCCTTGAACCTGTCTCACAGTGCGACGTAAGACCACCGTTTTAGAGCCACGACCAAAGATATCGCCACGTTTCTCCCACGATGGTCATCTTTCGTCTGGGACAGCCCAAAATCGCACAGTGTATACTGGCCATAAGAAAGCTACTGCTAAGTTACAGCTTGTACAGAACGCAGCAGCACGTGCTCTGACAAAAACCAGACAGAGAGCCCACATTACTCCAATCTTAAAATCATTGCACTGGCTACCTGTCTGTCACATAACTAATTTTAAAATTATTTTATTATTTTTTTTAAGCACTGAATGGCCTTGCCCCAACTTATCTGTCTGACATGGTCAAGATATTTGTGCCTGCTAGGTCCTTGAGATCCTCAAACTCAAACCTCTTGATTGTTCCAGATGTTAGAACCAAAAGGCACAGAGAGGCAGCCTTTGTTAATTATGTCCCTGACCGTCTGTCCTGCATCTCTCGCTGTCTCTGTCTCTCTCTCTGTCTCTCTTTCTGTCTCATTGTGTCATACGGATTACTGTTAATTTATTATGCTGATCTGTTCTGTATGACATCTATTGCACGTCTGTTCGTCCTGGAAGAGGGATCCCTCTTCAGTTGCTCTTCCTGAGGTTTCTACCTTTTTTTTTCCCCTGTTAAAGGGAGTTTTTCCTTACCTGCTGCGAGGGACCTAAGGACAGAGGGATGTCGTATGCTGTAAAGCCCTGTGAGGCAAATTGTGATATTGGGCTTTATTGATAAAATTGAATTGAAATTGAACTCTAGGAAAAGTCTGCCTGAAGGTCTTTGGGGCTCTAAATCTGTTGAAACATTCAAACGGCATTTTAAGACATGTTTTTTAACGAATCAATGTGCTACAGTAACATAAGATTTTACCCATTCAAATAGTAAAAAAGAAGAAAAGAAATCTGGGGTGGTTGATGTTGATATTGTCACAAACAGCCACAAATAAATCGTTATATGGGAAACACATTAGCAGGGATGTACTGTACACTTTGCTGTTGGAATGCCTTTGTTTACCCATTAGCCATGAGACACATCAATACAGCATACATCAGGACAGTATAAACAGTGATTCTTCTTCTCTGCTATGACGTCCATACTAAGAATACCAAGCTAGCGTTTCCTTAAAACTAGCTGGTGGTGTGTGCCATAGTGCCGTAAAACTTAAGGTACTTCTCTCAGGAGATCCTACACTCACCAAAGTTGCATAGTGTAAAGTTGCACTAATACAAGTCAGTGTATCACTTGCATAATGTTTCTTTACAGAGTAACTCAACATCATTTCCCCAGTTTTGAGGTAATAAATTACATCTAGTTACTTTATTACACTATCTATTGATCCTGGTCCTATTTTATAGTGTTCACGGCAACAAACATTGTTTTCCTCTTTCTAGAGGGAACACAGTAGTTCTGTCTGGCCCCCCAAAAATCTAT